TTTGCCCAGAAATGGAATGAAAAAAAAGTAAATATGAAGCCTTTTTTTTTGTGAGAAAAAAGAAAGCTATAGTTGCATACTTGCACATCGACAAGAAATTCCTGTATAACAGAGAATTGAGCCGGAAAATAAATTATGATGAAATTTAGCAGAGTCATCGCCTAAATATGGAAAAAATCAACGAGACAAAATTTTGATTCAGAAGGAACTATTTACTTGGGGATTTGAGTATCTCCTTGACCAATTGAAATCTGAAAAAGCTTCAACTTAATGGCCTCCAACTCTGCATTCTGTCTTTCTTCAATTGTCAACCATGAAGACAAACATTGATTAACCAAATCGTTCCCACTATTTAAGGGTGGTACACCCTTTGAAACCCTAGTCTTCCCAAATTTCAAGATAAGCTCCAACTTTGAATCAGAGGGATCCTTAACATAGTTCTCAAGAATGTGCCTGATAGCACTGAACCATATTGGCTGGGCAACCTTGAGGAATTCATGCACAGCCAACACTGGAAGACTCACACTTCCCATATCAGATTCACTGTTGCCACCTCTCCCATGATAATCTGACCCTCCAAGCTTCACAAGATCGTAAGCATCGGCTAGGTCACTATATACTGTTGAGCAAACAAGTGACACGAGAAATAAATACTGTATACAAATTCTCTTAGATAATGCTATGACAACTTTCATATAAAACCAATTACAGGAAAACCATATGCATCACAAGCGATGTAAATAAAAGCACCAGTAATGCATAATTCTCCACAAACATGCTAATTGTGGACATGGAATTTTTGGCTTGTTTACGGGACAGGAAGAGGAACATTAAGACATCAGTTAATACTTAGGTACACTGATGCGACCTGCTTCTATTTGGATTAAAAATCTGCATCTATTCAAGCCAGACGATAATGCAGTAAAAAGTTCCATGCCAAGAATTTAAGCTGGCAATATCGACTTAATATGGTATAACCATAATGAACCGTGAACTTTTCACCTGATTTTTTACGACTTAAGATGTATAACTTTTAGAACGTGTTTGATGACCTCATTGTTTTTTTCAATAAGATTAATGACCTCATTGTTTTTTTCAATAAGATTAATGACCTTATTGTTCATCTGGTGTTAGAAATCATTTCCAATTTCCATCCTATATATTAGAGGCTTTCTTAAAGCAATAATATTTTTTATAAAATTTATTTCCTGCTATCAATAATTACACTGATTATTTGTGTGATCAATATAAATCCAATTCCATTAGGACGTCAGATTAAGAAGAAATAATTTTATGCAGCATAAGACTGGGGAGTTAAAGGGAACAAAATAAGGCAATAGAAAAAGGGAGATATTAGGCAATAAATTATATACCTGCCAGTTTTCCATCACTTCTGTACACCTCTATCCCATGTAGCCCAGCTTCTTTCAATTTTCTGATGATAGCAACTGGATTTTTTAATGCCCATGGATGTGCCAGCACTGCCACACCCCCCGTTTCACATATCAATTGCACTGTTTTCTCTGCAGCAGGCTCACTACCCCTGAACCAGAGAACAAGCAAAAATTTCTGAGTCATGGTGAAAAAAAAATTGGATAAAATTTAATCAAAGCTAAAAGTAAGCTGAGATTTATTACGTTGAATAAGCAGGTCCACCATCATAAAGATACCGGGCAAAAGCTTGTTTCAGATTCTCCACATGGCCTGCTTCAACCAAAGCACGAGCAACATGCAGTCTCCCAGGAGCAACATCCTTGCCTGCAATCCTGGCCACATGCTCCCACTTAAGAGGCAATTTGAGTTTGTTCAATTTTGAAATCATGTTCTTTGCACGGAGGAAACGCCCATCTCTTATATCAGCCAAGAACTTCTCTAATTCCTCACATCTTGCTGGCCCGCAGCTGCTGTAATATGCGAGGATGTGAACTGGTTCTTCTGATCCAGACTCTCTGGTTGTGATTTTCCAAATATCAGGGTCAAAATCATGGAAGGGAAAATGGGAAATAATTATTTTTTTAGACTAACTAACTAGTGTTCCAGTAAATAGCCTGATGTGAGCGGCTTTGCAAGATAATGATGGTGGTGATGGATCACAATATGCAAGTACTAGGCATCATAAAGCCAGAAAACAGAATAACCTTGGGGAGAAAATTGTACTGATTTCGACACCCGGGATAATTTTGATGCCAAATCTGCGAGCTGCTTCCAGAGCTTCAGGGATGCCAGACATAGTATCATGATCTGTCAGAGAAAGAACTTTCACCTGTTCTGAACAAATTCAACTAATTATATAACACTCCATCCAATTAAATATTGAAGCAATTATCTTGTAACAAGAGAAAATGTCCTGACAAAAGGATATTTCATGATTCATAAGAAAATAAAGATCTTCAGATGGATTTCACCATCAACCATCAAACCGAGAACAATAACAAGGTACCATGTAAAAGTTCATAGATTCATCTAATCCTAAAAACTAAACATATAGCTCAGCTCTTGACCATTTATTCCATCTAAAACATGCTACTTAAATGCTCCTAATAAGGGATATGGGGATGGGTGGACAGTGTACACAGTTACTTGGGCCTCTTTTTATAAGACCATTTTTCTCGACTGCACTTTTTATTAGAATATTTCCCAGTTTTTTTTGTAAATATTCAAGGACTGCATGATAAAAAAAAAAATTCAAACTACTCATTTTGATTGAAAACTGTAGCCAAGGGGCCCTTAAGAGACCAAGGCTGTTTGCCAAATTGAAACCATCACGAATATGTCGTCTTTAGTTTTCCCTACAATTGATACATTACTTTTAAGGAAAGGTCAAACTGTGAGAGTTGCTTAAAAGGACCAACTTGCATCAACAGGACAGCCTGATGTTTGCAGGCCATTAGAATAGAACATTTGCAAGTGCCAAGACCATCTGAAGCCTCTAAAGTATCAAAGCAAAAAGAAGAAGACAGGAGAGAGATAATCATAGAAACAAATCAAAGCCAAAGCTTCAATCAATTCCTTCCCAGGGAAAACATATGGCAAGCTAAGGAGGTATTTTTACCATGGACAACAAACCAAGGCAGGAAATAGAAAAAGAATATCTCACAGCAAGATCAAGTCATGATCTTTAACTCCCACATTGCTGGAAAATGGAAGCAGAAACTCGTTATGTATAAATACAATTCATCTGAACTGGTGCCAAATTTGAGTCCTGGACACTTGATGGGAAAAAAAATACTATGTTTAATCACAAGTTCACGGAATTCCCCACAACCATGGATTTGCTGAGGCAATGTGCCACAAACACACTTGATCCAACACCAGCTTTATAGAAGATTTAAGCACTGGCCTGCAGTCAACACAATTTATCTTTCTTTTCATCTACCTAAACTGCAGGAGCATATGAAACATTTAAATCATAGCCTACATTATATAGAAGAGGCGGATCAGGCCAGCAGATTTTCACATTGTTTTGCAATTTGGTAAGATGAAAGAAGCTTCACACAAAGAAGTTCCAAGGGGAGATCGAGAAGAAAAGCCACGAGCTCACATTCCAAATCATTTTAACTTACCTCACATAATCAATAAAAAGTTTGTCTGTTCACAAATGGAAAATCATAATCACTTTACGTCAGATTGTAGAGCACAAACATTTTGGCTGGATGCTCGAAACCATTTCCAGGATTCACGCTCTCTGAGATCAAAGCGCTATAAACATAATGTCCATTGAAATTCTTTTTCTACTTAACATATTATATGTTCAAGTCTTTCTTAATTATTTCCCTTTTTGAAATGTACAATATATACTCATCTTTTTATTAACTTTTTATTTTAACTTCAACTTTTAGCCCCAAACATCACATAACCGGAAATCACAAGCGAGCATGAATGTAGACCCAGCTAAAGCAAAAGTAGTGCTCGATATGCCAGAGCGAACCTCAGCGAAAGAAAAGAGTGGAAGTCATTTTTAGGAAAAGCTTCCTACTTGAGAAGGTTCTTACCAGGGTTAGCAGCCAACTCGGCCCCTCTCATGGAATTTCTAAAAAAAAAAAGATGGAATACAAATGGGAAGAGGTCTATCGACAAGCCTTTGAGTGGCCACTAAATAGCAGATAGCATTATCAGCAGTGCATATTTTTCCATTCACTTGCATGCACTGGCAGATCAATAAATAAGTAAATTGGGAAATGATAGCATAAACAAAGACAGAATCAAGCGGATCTTTTACTGAATGTGACAGCATTAACTAAGGGTCTGGAAAAGGTGGGTGAGCTGCACAGCTAAGTTAACAACTATACAATCAGGCAACATATAAAAACAGGACACTGTGAACCTGAAGAAATAAATGAAGGTTGGAACATAAGATTTAGCCATAAATTACCACCAAAAACACAGGTAAACGTGAGCAAAATTAAAAACCACAAGTAACCAACCAACATAAACTTTTCCAACACAAACATTTCGTTACTAAATTTATTGTTTTTCTGGATGACATTATCAGAAACCCCATTCAATCATACAAGCAACAAAATCTTAGTTAAAAACAAACAAGAACAGAACAGAAAAATCGCAATCTTCCCATAAAAAGCAAAACCATCTCAAATACTCATTCAAACTTCATAATCACAAAACATAATAGCATTGAACAATCAGAATGAAACCCAACAAGCAAAACAAAAAAAATCTAATACCCATAAAATTCAAAACTCATCACATACAAGCAATGAAACAGAAGAACCCCCATTGCCTATATTCAACGAAGATTTATCAAACCAAAACCAAAGAAGAAAAAAACTCACCCCATTTTGATGTGCTCTCTCGACGAGCTTGGTAGGAGAAAGGAACCCATCACTGCAAGTTGAATGAGAATGCAATTCAAACACCAACTTCTCTTTGCCGCGACTCCACTGAACACCAAAATCATCATCCAGCACAGCAACAGACTGGCCCAAGAAGACCCATTCTCTCACAGATTTGTATGCTGAAGTTTGCTCGATAGTCATTTTCTTCTTAGTACCACCACGCTTCTTCTTCTTCTTAGTGGTGATTGTTTTCTTTGGACTATCTTTGTTGCCGCTACCGTTCGTACTTGGAAGAAAGAATCCATCGCCCATCATACGGGAGAGAGAGAGCGAGAGAGCAAAAGCTAGAGACAGACAGAGAGAGGAGAGAAGAAGAAAAAGAAGGCGGTTTGGGTTTTTAGGTCATTACGATCTGTGTAGGGTGTAATGGATATTTTCGCTTATGTCGTCGGTACATTTTGTCGCGAAAATGGAATTTATATTTGAGCCGAATTAGGTCCCTCAATTGATTGAATTTTAATTTGAATTCGATTTGTGAAATATAAATTAATTAGTTATTACCGGTGCTTGAAAGTACAGAAAAATAAAAAAAAAAGATTAATAATAAATATATTTATATTTATACCAAAAATTAAATCATAAATATAAATGAGAGAAAAAAAAATTTAAATCTCAATTATAATAAGAGTGAGCGTGATGGTAGGTGACAGTGGTGGTAGACTGCAATGGTGGTAATAGTTGTGGTGTGGTGGCGACATTTGTAATGATGGCGGTAGCCGTGAGTAGTAACGGTGATAGTGGTAATCATGAGTGACAACGGTAATGGTGATTGATAATAGTTGTGATGGGCGACAACAAGTTATTTTGAGTGATAATGTGATAAGTGGTGATGAATGACGATAGTGATAATGATGGTAAGTGGGGGGATGACAGCGGTGATGATTGTGTTGGTGGAGTGGTGGCAACAGTAGTGATAGAAAGTGCTGGTGAAGCGGGTGGGGGGGGGGGATGGTGGTGGTGAGATGGTGGCAACGATTGTGTGTAGTAAAGGTGGTGGTGGGATGGCGATAGCGGTGGTGGTGATAATGGGGGTGGCGATGATGGTGTTGGAGGTAGTTGTGGTGATAGTGGGACGGTTCTAAATACTATTTTTTTTAAAAATACTTGTAAAAAGTTATAAAATATTTTTAAAAAGTTACCCAAATACACTCTTATAGGCATATTGCCTATTAAATTTGAGGTGTTAATATTACCCGTTGAATTAACTTTAAAGTAAAATTTAAATAAATTTCAACCGCGAAAAACAAAAAATTATTTTATTTATCTTTTAAAATTTAAATTGTATTGTACTTTATTATATAACTAGTTATTGTATGTGTTTGAAGGCACAAAATAATAAAAAATGGTAACAACAAACATATTTGTATTCATATTCAAAATCAAATCACAAACATAATATAAAAGATAAAAAAATTTAAGTATCGAAGTTGTAGTGAGAGTGAGAAATGGGGGTGAGAGATGGTAGGTGACAGTGGTGGTGGTAGGAAACGGTAATGGTGATGGTTGTGGTAATGGTCGTGGTGGCTGTGATGGCGACGACGACAATGGTAGTGGTGGTTGCGACGATGATGGTAATGATGACGGCAACTGCAGTGGTAGTGGTGGTGGTAGCAGCGGTGGTGGTTGTGTTGTGTGGTAGTGGGTGGAGGTGGTTTGTGGTGGGGGTAATAATGGCGGCGGCCGGTAGTTGTGGTAATAGGGGTAACAGTGACGAAGGAGGTGATGGCGATGGTGATGGTGACGGTGACGATGATGGTGGTGGTGACAACAATGACGGTGGTAATGGCGGTTGTGGTTGTGGTTGTGGAAGCGGAGTGGCGGCAGCGACAGTGGTGGTGGCGATGGTGGTGGTGGCGGTGATAAAGGTAGTGGTGGGCGCAGTTTCAAACGTTATTTTTTTAAAAGTATTTATGATAAATAATTTTTATAAGTATTTTTAAAAAGTCATTTCAAACACATCCCTTAAGGTCCTATTTTTTCTATTAAATTTAGGGTGTTAATATTAGCCGTTAGATTAACTTTAAAGTAAACTTTAAAACGATTTCAACCGTGAATGACAAAAATCATATTATTTATTTTTTAAAATTTGAATTGTAAGTTACTTTATTATATATGTATATTTTTTTTAGAGATTATCTAAGTTCGAATTTGAATTTGATGTCTTACATTTTTGATAAATTCAAATTTGAGTATACTTATATAATTATATTCGATCATAAATATTTATATATTTTTATATAAAAATTAAAAAAAATAAATGATTATTTAAAGAAATTTAATTAAAATAATTTATTCGGATAGGATCAATTTTTTGAATTATTAACAGATTTGGATATGAATTAAAAAAAAAAAAATCTGTCAAATTATTGATCCAATTAAGATTAGTCAAAATTTATTCCAACCTCAATCTGTTGACAGGGTCACATAGTAGTGTAGCTTGTGCACTATCACGAGAACAAGTAGACATATATATTGTGGTGTCATATATGGATGTGTGAATGGATGTAAGCATGTAAGGGTAATAATTATATCGGATTAAATAAGTTTATGTCAAAAAAAAAAAAGAGTCTAAAATCACTCAACTCGTACACGAATTATTTATTAAACAAATAAAATGTGTTGAAATCAATCAAAACCCACGTATTTAATGAGTTAACCGATAAACAAGTTAATATATTTTATCTTACACGACCCGTATAATAGGCAATTTTGACAGATTAATTCGTTTATCATCTGAACTCATTAAAATCAAATAAATTCATTAATTTTGTGTCAATTTGTGTTTTATTTTGTAACGTTTACATGCACAACTATGTTGTGTTTTTTGGGTTGGTGGAATGTCACACACTCTACCACCGAGCATTAGATCAGTTGGTGAAGGATTATTCTAGCGTAATCAAGGTCTCAAGTTTAAGTCTTGGTAACATAATTACGTTCAATAAAAAGAATTTTGCCGCCCTTGTGATCCCACTCAACTCGAATCCAAATTAGTTGTTTCGAATATCGGATGGTCCGACCAAAAATGAATGTTAGACACTCTCCTCCTCTCTTTTTTCTCAGCTGTCATGTTCTCAGCCTGAGGTCTGCACCCACCCAAGACCCAACCATGGCAGTGTGAAGTACTTTTCTTAGGAAATTTTTCGCAGTACACTGCTCTATCTACTCTCTGAGTTGTCATTTGTGTTCTCGGGAGGGACACCTTCCTTGTTCCATCCCCCTCTCTCTCTCTCCTTCAAGTGTATTTAATTTTTTTGATATTGTATTGATATTATTATTTTTATAATCATTATTTTATATATTTTTTTATCATTATAATAATAATAATAATAAATTAATAAAAATAGTTATCACAATAAAATAAAATTACCTACAAAAATGATAAATCTTTCACAAAAGTAATAAATTTTCCACAAAAATGAACAAAAAATGTATTATAAAAATAATAAAATTTAAATATACGATACCAATTTTTTTGGTCATCACCGTAGTCAAGTCCATAGAATCATAGAAGGAATAGGTTAAGTAAAGGCAGAGTTCAGAGGTTATTAATTAGGGAGTTGATTATGGTACATTCAAAAAAAATTCGTATCGCACCTTTAAAATTTATTATTTTAAATAATATTTTTATTATTTTTGTGGATCATTTTATAATTAAAAAATTTATCATTTTTGTGTTTGTAGATATTTTTTCCACTATAATAGACTTTTTTACCACATTTATATTTTTATTACTTTTTTGAAGTACAAAAAAATTTATAATTTATGTGGGTGATTTGCCATAATTGTGAATATTTTTATTATATTTGTGAATATTTTTATTATTTTTAAGTATCACAGATATAATAAAAATAATCATAAAATATAATAAAAGTACAATAAATGTGAAATTTTTTGATATAACACTAAAATTTTGAATTTTAGTATCACAGTCAAATCCATTAGTTAGGGAACGGTCTTATCGATTTATCAACAGACAACATGGCTGCAACCCCTCGCCCTTCGGTCTCGTACAAACCCACCCACCTATGAGTAAATTTGGCAACTGTTTTACTGATTTGAGGACCGACAAATGAATACCGGGAATTCTACGGTACTGACTTCAGTATTGTACTATCGATTACTATTTTTTTTTTTGATAAAATTATATACCATCCGTTCTTTTATATCTGTCGTTTAAAGTTTTTACATAAGAATTAAAAAAGTTATTAAATAACTCTAATATGAGTAAAAAATAATTACATAAAACTAAAATACTCTTATTCAATACATATTGAGAAAGAAATGAATATGAAAAACACTTAACTTCCATCTAATCTAATGCATTGAAAAGTTAAGGGTAAATTTGGAAGAAAAAATATTAATTATTCTTTAATTTCATTAAACGACAGATATTATAGAATAAAAAAAATTATGTAAAACGACAAATATTTAAGAACGGAGAGAGTAATATATATGGAAGAAGTTTCAATTGTTCAAGGAAGATCATAATCAATCACAAATACATATGATCGATCATGAACTTCCTCTAAACAGTTTTAACTTCTCTCTTATAAGTTATAATTTGGTATTAATCACAATCTATTATAATCGATCATGACATTTAAAAATTATAACTTATATTTTTAAAAAATTATAATTTAACCTTAAATAGTTGTTATTGACGGTACAAACTGTACGATACCTCCTATGGTACTGTAGAATTCCCCAATGAATACAGGCACAGCTATATCTCTATATCTTTCTCTGTCTCCCTTCCAAAACAGTAGTGTCTACTGAAAAATAAAATTTTAATACCATATTAAAAAATAAGTTTTACTAAAAAATATGATAAATTTTACTCCAAAAGTGACGAGTGAATCCAAAAAAATTAATAAATTTTATCCAAAATGTAAAATAAATAACTTTTTTTTTGAACCGGATGTAATTTAAAAAATTAGAAAAGTGACGAGTGATACGTTACTTTTTTTTTTTTCCCCGATAGAATCATCAAACCTCAAAATGAATGGTATTAATTTCAATGCATGCACATTGCATGTAATATACAAAATATTGTCATCAGCCATAAAAGTTATAATTTTAAAAGTTAAGTTGGTAATTCATGATTGAATGAACAATATGAATTACTTTAAGAAATAATAACTTTTAAAAAATTTATGCTATCATTCAAAAACAGCAACATTATTTATGGCGTCAATGTTTTGGACAGGGTACTGTTGTCGTCTATCTAGAACGATCAATCTACATCCCATAATCTTAGGGTCGTGTCTCAATTTCCTATGTACAAAATCTAAAGGATTAATTCTTTTGGGGATTCTCACCTACTCTATTTAATACTATTTTCTTTATTCAAATTGTCTAATAACCTCGTTACATATGGACTCGATTCACACTAGTGACACTTTACTATACACATGTCCAAAAGTGGTGACATCTTTTTAAGCAAAGATAATCAACTTTTTTTTTTTATTCAGCAGTCAAGAATATCTGAATCAATTTACATACATTTCGAGTAATCTTCTCTTCGGTCTAATTATAGACAAATCATTCACTTTGAAATTAGAATATTCATGAGAGATAAATTTTTTTTGACTTAACTTCAAAGGATTGTTAAAATTCAACCTCAGGACGTGCTAATTATTTCGATGAGGGGGGCCAAACTTGTATGGAACCCTTCCATTGAATATTTTGTTAATTCAAAGAAAAGAATGAAAACACACTGGTTTTTTTAACAAGTTTGATGTTCATAAATCTGTGAATCTAGAAATTCATAATTAAACGTTCTTGAACTGTTTCTTTTTAAGAACTTTGTTTGGCAAGCTGCTGTAAGTTTTTGATGAGATCTTTTGTTAAATTAGCTCATGCTACTGCACATTAATTCATGTATATTGTACTGCACTACATTACACTGGTAAAATATTGACAGAATTGAACGATAACTAACCAGAATTCGAATTCCCTCCTCCATCAATGACTGTTTAAATCTCCGAAATGGAATTCATACAATGTAGTAACAATTCAGAGTAAGATCTGTGGAGCATCATCATTCTTCTTCCTCTTTTTGCTTTGAAAGAACTTTGCAGGATGCTGTGAACACCCAATTGCAAGCCGATGTTCCTTGTCGAATTGCCCACAGTTGGTTTAAGGGTCTTCTGGCTGTAGAGCCATAGAGCTGTTTGGAGGAGGCTACGAGGGCTTCGAGTTGGCCAGTGTTTCCTTGACCTACAAGCAATGCAATAGTTCTTTGATCAACAAGTTTCCACTCTCCATTGCTTCATAAAATGTCTTGGGCATGACACGTTGCCATAATCATGCTAACGTTCCCAACATAGTTGCAGAATGACTTCAAATTATCCAGAAAAATCTAATGAGAACACAAAATATGTCCAATATTCGACCTCAATATCCTGCTCAATATCAGCATTGTATCAGGACCTATGCGCCTGCCTAATACGCTGCAGCTCTATAGATGTGGGTGTGCAAGCAATCTCAGTGAGAGAGATGAGATTGGAACACCCTTCGTAAAGCAAATTTCTCATTATCTCTGCATCACACTCTTGTGGTTCACTCATGCCCATGTTACCTGTCCTCTGAATATTAAACACTTCAACCTCAATAAGTGACCAACATATGGCAATGGTAACACTTTGAAGTGACAATGCTTACAGAGTATGGGTTCTTCTGAAAGGTATTCAACCTGAAATGAAGATCTTGATTGTGAATACCGCTATAAGTTTGGCAAATAAGCTTAAACTCCTGCAAGTTTCTCTGCATCAGGATCTCTTCGAGCTTTTCGTAGTTGATTTTTGTAAAATTGCCCGTTCATTCACTGGAGTTAAGAAGCAATGTTCTAAATAATAGAAAACTAGAAAACATAATAAATTACCTGAAAGAAGTGGAGAAATTGGCAATCCAACTCATATATGTTATTGCTTTGAAAAGAGCTGCTGCCCCCATCTTAACTCCTCCAATTGGGACTGTGTTTGGCTTTAGTGCTGCATACAAACAAAATGCTAAGGAAAGTTACATTATAAGATGGAGAAGCCAGTCGAATCCCTTGCCAAAGACACATATATCAGCAATCCGCATATACCAGTACTGAGAATTTATGTTTTTTTGCTTACAAAAACTATAACTCAAAAAGATCAAACATACAAGTGGAAAGCCTGCCCCCACTTTGTTTTCCACCTTTTAGCTTGTCTGATTCACAACACTGACCTGCAGTCAAGCTCCATAATTATTGCCAACAAAGCCGATAATTCAGATGCAGAATTGTTGACTTGTTAACTGAATCAAAGGTGAAATTTGAACAAAAACAATGCAGTCATGAGCCATCATCAAATGTTTAATTATTTATTGATCACAAAGAGATGTTATGATTCTCAACTTTTGCCATTAAGGTGCTCCGAAACTTAGAAACTCAAACTTTCTTTCATAATATGTACTTATATTTTTTGACAGTTCCATCCTTGGTTCAGACTACAGAAATAAGGAATCATAACAATCATTACAAATAGAAAATTGCCTTTCTATCTATGATGTAACTGTCCAGTCAAAAACAACTTGGTTTCGATGAAATATTTTGAACGAGAAACCAGACCCAAAGGTGTTTTAGCTATTGTAAAATAGAACATAGGGTAGAAGATACTTTTGCTGGTGAGTGAAGCAAAACTAGCAGAGATTGATTTAATACCTCACTAGACCCGTCCTCTATTCAGCAGCCAAATTCAAAAGTGAATTCTTAATTTTCAGCATCTAAAGAACATGAACCTTGAAATCAAATTTTCTTATTACAAGTTTACTTTTCCAACAAGCACTTAAACAACATTTTAAATGACTACTTTTCCAGTGATAGAGGATTGCTTTTTCATTTAGCTATGCTATGATATTTCTCGCGCAAGTAAAAAGGTTTGTCTAGTATTGCGAAATGGTCCAAATCACTGATGACAAAATTTTACATTGGCTATCAGCGACTTTGCACAACCCTTTCGTTTTTCAAACCTTGGGACTGACTAATGGTGAGACAGGAAGCAAGAGTGCATAACATACTGGAGTTTTCTACACACAAATAGAAATATATGCACTAGCAACAGCAAATGTAGTGCAACTTGCAACTTTGTCTTATTTATCAACACCTTAAACAATGGATGCTTTATCACCTACAGAAAGCATGTTAAGGAGTACAAGTCATTCAACTGAGCAGGATCATCAATGGTGTGAAATTACATGTACAGCTGTACATACATCACTATTGGAAGTGAGTTAAATAAAAATATTGAGAAGTGTCTGCTAATGCCGCTTCTATCTTTAATTTCTCTACTTTCTCCTCTCCATGCTTTAACAAGAGAAACTGTAATTGAAAAATGCAAATAAAATAAAATTTAAAACAAAGAAAATGGGGCCATGTTATATTTAGCTGAGTGAATTAAAAACAGCAGAAAACTGGTGAGAGGGAGAGAGAAACAAGTGTATGCACAATCGTAAATGTTTTGACTTTAGCAGGACTGTGATGTTAATGATAAACAAATAAAAATAAGTATTTAAGACCCATTGATGAATAGAAAATGGCATCACTGAATTGGTCAATAGAAAGGTGCCATAATTGATGGATACCATCAATTATCAACAAGTGAATCCTGTGCTGCATTCTCCTTCTCCTTCTCCTTCCTGTACCGAGCAAGGTGTTCGTGATAATCTTCCAGCACTTTCTCCAATTTCTCAATAAACTGACTTGTATGCTCAAGGGACTGCTCATACCTATATTTTTCCAAGGCCTGCAATTTAGAGAAGGAAAGAAAAATTTATACAGACGCACACGCATAATATATTTTGTGGAAAACATAATAAACCATCCTGGTCTGATATAGCTTGAAAACAATCAATCGTGATGGAGCTTGAACAATCTTATGAAATATTTGGCTCAAGATGACATAAAAAACCAGCCCCAAATGTTTCTCTCCGCTTTTAAACAAAATGCATTCAACATATGAGCAAAATATAACACCAAAAATTACCTTTGCTTTGGATAAAGTATCTGGAGGTGACATAACTTCGGGCTGAACATAATTCTTTCCTCGATAGAATATTATAGTATTGTTAGGTTTTATATCAATAACGATGCCTTTGCTCAACCGAGCAAGTTCTTCAGCGTATTCATGAACCTGTCCAGGCTTGCAAGGCTTGCAAATAACCTTAACAGTTTCATGCTTCTTCCAGTGGAGATGCATGTTTAGAACAACTCCTCCAAATACTCCTCGTCTCCCGAGTGGAACATAATTTTTCTTTTTCTCACCCGTTCGCTTTAGGTAAAACATCTCTTCTTCAGTAAGAATTTCAGGATCATATGCTTCAGCTGGGGCTTTGGGTACCTCAAATTTCCTCAGTTTCTCAATCAACCATTCTTCCTTTCGTTTCGCCTGCAAAATAGCATTATAACAAGTGTAATAAAATCAAGCACTTAACATAATTAGGTGGCTTCAACTACAATCCATTGGAACAAGCACAAATACGCACCCAGATGCACACGTATAGACACACACACACACACACAAAGGAGAGAAACTCTGGACCATTATGTGAAGTAGGAAGATATCTTGTCTATATTTAGCCTGTGGGTCATTCAAAAGGTAAATATGGTGCTCAAACCCAGAAGTATAGTCACATTACGAATTGCTCATGAACGAGCTTATCAACTTGTGATTCTTATATAACAGGAAAATCAAACAACCAACTTATCCAATTACCAGTACTTGCAAACAAGACATAGAAGAAAAAATATGGGAAAACACAAGACAAAAGCTTTTGTTGCTGCCATTTATCTATTCACCTGCTACACAGATTATGAACCCAATCATAGCCAAGTGCCCAATGAAAAAAATACAATAATCATTAAATGCCAAAAACCTAAATAAATAAACAGCTAAGAAATCTTAAACTAGAAAAAAGAGATCTACGATATTTCCAACCTTTTCAAGTTTGTATCTTATCCTGACTTCTGGATTGCCAGATCTAATTTTTTTCTTTGCCTTCAAGCGATATAACCTGAGTTCATTCCGTTTGGCTTTTTTAGACATTTTGAACCTTTTGGCTGTCCTCTTACCTTTTCTTGGAGACTCGTTACTATCCATCTGTTTACCGATACTAAACCTGACAATATCGTTATCTGTCTTGAGCTCAATCGACGCAGTGCTCACATGTCTAGCATACAAACATTTCAGAAAAACATGAAGTGGATTGAAAATGGCCGATCTTTGAAACAATAAGGCATTCCCTGTAGAGGATTTCCTTGACACTTGTGTAAGAGGTCCCTCTGACTTGTTGCCCCTCTGGTTTCCAAATGTGATACAATGAAGAAAATGAGCAAAAGAAGTGGCTTCAGGCAAAAAATAAGGATCCCTGCATAATCCACATCACCCATCACGACAGACCTTCAACATAAAAAACGCTATATGCATATAGACCCACCTATAAAATAACTACTAGGGCAAAGAAAAAACAAGGAAAATGCTAATTGCACCTAGCGTGCGACCTAGTTTGGAGACCTAATATATGACAGCAGTTGGATTGAAAATGGGTCACACTAAACATTTGAATGACTACAATGAATTAGGTACCCAAATTAGTTCTCCGCACTAGGTCCAAGTAGCACTACTCAAGAAAAAAAAAACCTAAGACCATTACTAATTTGCCATTAATATGCAAAATCCTATCAATTGTATCGGGAATGAAAACTTAGCATACAACCAACCCCAAGGGTAGCCTAGCGGAGACGGGGATGAGATGTAAATCCAGTCATCCTGACTTCCAAACTTGACAACTTCCTTAGGCTAAGGTATTGGAGATTTATTCTTAAGAATTCTCTAGTCTGGTCTGTCTTTAACACGGATTGGGGAGGGGATTAATCGAGCGATGATCGATGAATTCATCAAAGATATTAACTAATGAATGACATTCTGAGTGTTACAGTGACAAAACTCAGGAAAAACGAAATGGGATTCGTTTGAAATCCGGATTAACATCAATATCTGACCAGACCTCTACTTAAAAAAAGAAGGGTCATTGCGTAGCATATCTGTTAACTTCATTTGTCGATAAAACCCTAGAAATAAGAATCAATAAAATGTAAGAACAAGAAATTACCTTTCGATGATGTTGAGAATGGGATTGTTGCAGATGATGATGGAAAACCCGCGAGTCACACTTTTGATTGAAGTTCTGCTCAGCATCATGATCTTCACTACACAGCTGGCTGCTCAGTCCCTCTGCTTCTGGTGGGGTTTTGAAGAAAAAGAGGGGGGGTTCAATTAGTTATATTTTTTTTATTTTATTTTTCATATAGAGTGAAATTTAAAACGGTATTTTAATTAGTCAGAAGGTATATTGGAACTTTTTTTTGTGATTAACCCTCTTAAATTAGGAGTGTTAATTTGACCCATCAACATAAATTACGAGGTGAATTTGATACAACACGATTTTAAAATTAACGTAATTAATAAATAAACATAATAAATGAATTGAATTTTTGTGTTTTACGCTCCGTAATTCTTTTTCAGTCAAACTTGGACAGAATAGCAGAGTAAGTATAAGTATTAATAATATAACAAAAATGTGGAGAGACGTATTGAGAGAGAATTTGATTTGGTTAAACAATGTGTGGTTGAAAAAGATAAGCAATAATCGATTTTTTAGCAAGGTATGAGACTTCTTTGAGTGATCTTTTGTTTAGGAACCGGACGAAAGATTGGCTTTGGTCCGTCCATTGGTACAACATTTAGTAAAAATTATTTCGAGGAGGATGGGTTTAGACTTTGTCGGTTCATAACAATTATTAATGTTTAACACTTACCCTTTTAAAGAAAAAAAAGAAAAAATAATAATAAAAAAAAAATAATGTTTAACACTTATAACAAATCAAATAGATTTTTTTTGTCTTTTTCATGTGAAAATCTCGTTTGATGGATATACACCATTTTATATTCTTCATTCAAAAGTACATTTAACGTTTACATTGTAATCACGAGTTTATAAAACACGTGATTGATAGTAATTCTCATTACTAATCTATTTTTTAAAAACACTAATTAAAGTTCAAACATTTAAAATCTTGTGATTTCATTGCAAATGCATTCATTTATTTATCTAATATTGGATGTATGATATTGAGTATAAAAACGTATACACGCTAAAGCAATCGTAAATCGTAATACAAAAATGTTAATAGTTCAAATCTCATCGCTAACAATTAAAAATAAAAAAAACCAAACAACATATACATAATACCCTAATTCTATTTCCAATATGACTCAACATGTTACCCTTTCTCTTATTTATTGGTAGATAATACACCAGTAAGAATCCATAACCCTATAATTATGTGTTCTAAAACCCTTTTTTTTTTTTTTTCTAATAATTTCTCATTTTATTCTGAAAAAAGTACAAAAACAGTTCTGTTTGACATAAGAATACAAGTAGCAAGCTGATACTGTTTTGGACAGCATTGGACAAAGTGACAAAACATTATCATAAAACCACCAAATGTACCAAGGAAATTAGGTCTCATGCACCCAATTCCAAGGTAAGGGCTAAGACTACAAGGGATAGAAAATCTTATAGTTGCCATGATAACAAACAATTGTTTATATGCCATAACTGATGTAGCAAAGTGAAAAATAAAAAATTAAAAATAGTTTAGTGTCCGAGACTCTCGCCGCCATGAGTCATAACCAAATCATCACTCTTCTCCACTAATGACCAAGGATGGAGTTGCAGAAATGGAGTCATCCGTCAACGATGGATCCATCGAGAAATCTTCTTCGTCTTCCGAGTTGGCCACCACTTTTATGTTGTCAATCTCTCTCACCACCTCACTCATCTCCGGCCTCTTTTCCGGTGACTTATCGCAACACTTCAATGCAATTTGTAGTAGCCTCACCATCCCATTGTTGGCAACTCTCTGCACTGATATTTCCACGTCGAAAATCTCAGCCGTCCATTCTTCTCTAACAGCCCTGTGAACCCAACTGCACAGCTCAACACCATTGATGCCTTGTGGAGCTGAGTTAATCGGAATTCTTCCGGTCAAGAGCTCTAAAAGCAGGCATCCATAGCTCCATACATCTGACTTTCTCGAAACTTTTTTGTAAGTTTGGTACTCTGGTGATTTGTATGAAGTCATACGTTGAGCAGCGAGTGGCGGTGCAACGAGCAAAGTGAAACCATAATCCGAGACAAGCACCATATTGTTCTCGTCGAGGAGAACATTGGATGATTTTAAGTTCCCATGAGGGACAACAATGGTTTGGGATTTATGGTTTAGGTGCAAATACTCCAGAGCCCGAGCTACACCGCGAGCAACAGCTAATCTTGAGCTCCATCGAAATGGAATCCGATCCTTTGTCCCTTTTCCTCCTATACATGACACCCAGTATAATTGCATAAAGACTTGTGTGTTTGGTTGCCAAGAACATAGAGGAAAAGAATCTCCAATATTATATTTGCATGTATAGATATAAATTCCATACAGGGAATGGACATAGCATCAAATTCGATTTCTTTATACATCCATTTGTTCCAAAATCACTTTGAAGTAATCGTCTTCCTCGTACTATTCTAATTCCCAGTTTTCTTATTATTTCTAATATGAATTTGGACATCTATCCAAAGAATCAAGAGAGAAGGTATATAATTGATTGAGTCATTTACAGGAGTTCTATGAACACTTCTTCAGATTAATGCTTTAACCTTAAAGTATAAAAAAGTTTCTAAAATATAATCAAATAATATGTGACTCGCTCGAGGCAAGATCTTATTATGCATTATATTTTTGTTAGCCAACGACTATATCTTGTTGTTTTTCATATAACATGTTTAGGGACCAACTGAAGAATGATCAAGAACATGAACAATTCGATAATAAACTTACCGTGAAGGCGATTGTAAACGTTGCCATTCGATGCAAATCTGTTCATCAACAATTTCTCATCATTGGAATAGTAGTAAGCAAGAAGAGGCAACAAGTTTGGATGCTTCAGATCTGCAATTAATATCAGTTGCTTCACAAATTCATCACTGCTCAATGGTTTCAAGTCCCTTAGCCTCTTCACAACCACAGCTAGTCCATCATTCACCACAGCCTTGTAACAGCTTCCAAAATTCCCTTTCCCCAATCCGTCCGCCGAGGCTTTTAATAGATCTGCAAGCTCAAATTGCATTTCATGATCATCCATGAATGTGAGCTTCCCTTTTTCTTGTTCTCCTTGAATTATTCTGCTTCTCTCTTCTGTTATCTCTATCTGTGTCTCATCTTTTTTTTCCTCTTCTTTTACCACTAAGTTCAGTCTTTCCAGTCTCTCCATCTGTTTCTTGAGCCTCCTGGATTTCTTGCAGTAAACAATGAAAAGGAAAAAAATAACAATTAGGCCAACAACATCTACAACAATCAAAATGGCTGCAAAACGAGATGTTGAACCGTTCGAATTGTTAGCCTTTGATGCTTCAGTATTGGTGCTATCGCAGTCTGTGGGAGAGGGTGGTCCACACAAATCCTTGTTACCCTCATATGAAGAATTATAATTGAATGATTGGAGAGCGTTTGGTATCGGCCCCGAGAGATCGTTATTCGAGACATTGAATTTCCTCAAGTTAGGCAGGTGGAAATCTGGGATTGAACCAGTTAATCTGTTATCTTGAAGCTGCAATGACTCCAAGAGATTAAGACTCAGAAGTGAAGTTGATATTGATCCATCAAACTGGTTGCCTGATAAATCAATTTCTCTCAGCTTCTGATTCTTTGAGAAGTCCATTAAATTCCCTGAAATGGAATTGTTCTTAAAGCTCAATATGGACAACTCAATGAGGTTGACAAGTGCATCAGCTTTGATTTCTCCAGTCAGACTCATATTTTCCAGCAGAATTCCGGTGACTCGACCGTTTAAACACTGAATGCCATACCAATTTGGGGTGTTATTCATATTCCAAATGAGGCTAGTCCAATTGTCATCAAGAAAAGAATTGTTGAATTCAGATTTGAGAGCCAAAAGGGCCTCTCTATCTTCTCCTTGGGAACCTATTGGAGGCTCCTCCACGGCGATGGCGCGTATGCATAACAGAAAAAGAGCCATAGCCATAAGATACTTGAGAATTTGAGAAGAACCCATTGTAGGATCAAGTTCAAAGGTTTTTTTTTTTCTTCGAGTTTTTCAGGTTTATCAGGGAAAGCTGTGTACAAATAGAAATGTTGTGGATGATTATCTTTGATGGTTTTGTAATATTCTTGTAAGATCCCTTGACAGCTATGTGTTCTTTGTTGGAGGAAATAACAAGGACATTGTGATTGTTTCTATAGGAATTCTCGGCTAAGAGGAAGTCTTTGATATTATAGCCAGAATGGACCACTGGAATGCATGTCCATGAACATTTGTGTTTGTTTGATGGACTTTTTGGCACTAACAGAAGCATTGTTTTTGGAGATCGTCACCGGATATACCTGTGAATTGCATTAGTTTCATTAGTTTAGGACGTGCAGATTAAGTGCAAAGTTTAATTATGATTTTAGAATCGAGGGTCGACTCGCGAAAATAACCGTTGCGCATACGGTTGCTAAATTCTGCAGTAACGGAAGCTCCGTGCACTATGCCACCAATTGTTAAGAAAATGAATTTTTATACTGTTTTATTGGTAGAACTAGAAGATGCATATGTATAAACAACTGGCAAGTGACAACAGGAACAAGGTAACAAAGTAAATAGTTTTTTTTTGGGGGGCAATAATATATTTTTTAGCAATTCGTTTATCACGTCAAGTGTGGCAACTACAATATTGAATAATTAGTGGGGTCTAATTAAAAAATGAAGTTGATGAGGAAAAGCTGGTCTAGCCCTTGAAAGTACGTCTGTCAGCGGATCGAATTCGGATCAAATTTTGATTCATTCGATTTTCATTAAAAAAATCTGCTCGACAGATATAAAAATATTAATACATATTTGAATTCGCTTATATTCAGACATTCGATCTAATTACTTGATCCGATTAATGGTATTTCACCAAAATTTTAACAAATAATCTTTTTTTTAGATCAAATACAAATAATCACTATATATATTAATCAGGTTAGATTTGTATCAAATCGAATTTTTGTATATCCATATTCATATCCAATTTAAAATATTTAAACGGTTTCAAATAAATGGACACAAGTATTGTATTTGATTAAACGGATTCGGAATAAAAT